TAAAATCCAACCTCTCTTGAAATACTACCGCCCAATTATTTAAGCTTCTCATAAACCAAAAGCTTACCAGAACACATTCTCAAAAACACAGAAACCTCCTCGGCATATCAAAAAAGATCACGACACTACATTTCCTTACATTCAACTTAAGAGGCCATCTAATGAATTACCGATGCATCTAGGCACTCGGTAACAGCTTCATCAAGTGGAGCTTCTAAGCATCAGTAAGCTCCTTTAAGAGCGGTTGCCTCTAATTCGGCGCCTAATGTACATATGGTTCCTTATTGTTATGTTGTCCTCTAAGGCACTATCTTCTTCATACCAACCTCTGACGAAGATCGTTGCCTTTTGGAATTGAGGAATGTCTCTTTTTCTCACCAGCTTGAGTTTGTCTCGCTTATGAGACTTATAGGGCTTATAAGGTCATTGATGGCTCAAATTCTAGCATTAAATAATCTCCCTTGAATTCGTTGCTGTCCATATCGATGAGGCCCCTTCCTTGCCACAGGTTCCCTATGGTATTGTTATTAACCGCTGGATGCGATATTCGGGACACACTATTCTTGTCATAGCAGAACTCGTCTCTATAGAAACTCACCGTAACCTTCGCATAAGAAGGAACTACTTCCAATTATTGCTACATCCTTCTTAAAGTCGGGTTAAGAATAAGCATGCTGTTTTGATAAAGATAGGTCTATATTTAGCGGGTCCAATGGACCCTAACTTTTGTGTGAAAAATGACAAAATTTGTATTCTATAGCGTATATACCACACCACTGAAGGACATACACCCTAGAAGTTTATAGTATATCCAAGAGGAGTGGTTGACCTTTAAATTGATACCAATTATATTGTCGTAGGTACTCGGATGCGGGAGTTACACTTAAATATTTACAGGTGCTTACGTATTCATATATTATTTAGAAACCTATTACCACCCTGGAGGGCGGAAATATAGCACTGATCGCTTTGAAATGTTCCATGAGGTTCCAGTTATGGTCAAGGACACCGCCTAAAATGTTAGGTGATGATCAGATAATAATTTTTCGGATGAAGTGGACCGAAAACTTAATTATTTGTACTTTTCGAGTCGAAAGCCGAACATCACAACACAACCCACGGTGAAGAGAATCTGGACAAGTATTTAGAGGGGCTGTACTGATTATTAGTAACATTTGTTGACCTCTAGCCAGTCAAAGGTGTGCAAATATCGCGAAATATTGCCCAATCTCAGAATATAGAACCACAGAAAGTTAAATTTTCATGGAAGTTGTGTAGGGTATCGTATGGTCGGCCCCGTCCGAGTATCACTGGTTTTGGATATGGCCTTGTGGCTAAAGTAGTTTTTTCCAGAAAGGTTATTTTTAAGCTAATATTACTAGAATCTGAAAATACTTTTTCATGTTTTCATTTTTGGCTTTTTAAAGAGTAGATTAGAACCTATAAATTGTATTAATAGGTCATTTACCCAACGTATATCAATTTCATTGACAGCTCATAGTTCAAAAACCCTAACTCCCATACTACAAACAAAAAAAAGACAGAAAACACTAAAGCAGATACACAAAAATAGACCAAAAAATTCACACGCATACATTCCTCATTTTATATGTTCGAATTTCGAAAACAAATTTCCCTCAAGAGAGTTTTTGGGGGAAATGTGTCATAAACCTAAGTGAAGGTTAGTGCTTACGAATAAATATTCAATTTTTTATATGTTTATCTACTACTAGTTTAGTAGTTTAGCTTTTATGTAAAGGAACTTTCATTGTTAATGACACTCCTTGAACTCCAAATGGCTAAAATGGAAAAGTGATGATAACATTTTTTCGGTGTGACAATAATGGAATGTTGTTTCGGAATTCATTGACCCATGTTTTCTAATATGTAGTTATGGTAATAAATATTGATTGATATAATCAGTTTGGGATGAGAGAAAATTCATAACGTAACATATTTTTGAAGAAATGTGCCCATTTTTAAAAGTAATGGGATAGGAATGGTATACCCATGGTACAATAATACAAGTTGTAGCTTGAACCTCTGCCTGTAGAATCGTATTGTGATCTGGTAGGCGAAGTGAAATTTCAGTTTTAGGTTCTTCAATGAGAAATCCCAGTCCCGGCTTTTCTGCTAGCTGGGAGCCATATGTGTAACAACAGTTACTAGGGGGCATGTTCCACTCGTTCATAGGTTAAGGTTAAGGAAGGGGGTTTAGTAACTGTTTTTGAGTAAAAGAATTGCAAAACTTGTAAAATTAGTAGATTGTTTTAGGTTCTGGAACGGACCTATCGACAACGATTAGAACAAAGCTCTAGTAGATGTTGTCCTTATTGTTCCACATATTCCTTGGTTGTATGTTCTCTGGACTTTCTGCAACGATTTCACATTACATTTTTTGTTCATTACTGTCCACCAGACTACCGAGGCGTATGTTATCATTTATCTAATAGCGATCTTATAGATCCAGTGTATCTTCTTTGGATTAAAACCCCATTTAGAGCCTACAGATCTTCTGCAGATGTACCAGCATCTGTGGACTTTGTCTACCCGGTTCAATATGTGGTCTTTCCATTTAGGTTTTCTGTCTAAGATGACACTTTATTTGATGTGCTTATCACTTTGTTTTGAAATATGGGTTCTTCATACTGCCCTATTATTGTCTTCCAAGTGAAGAGACATATCTCCGTCTTGGCCTGATTTACGTAAAGGCCCCTCCGCCTCGCCCAATTATAGGCGATATTTAACACAATTTCAGCAGGTTAGAATTCTCTCCCCTCTGATGTATTATAACGTCGTCTGCATAACAGACGGCTTCAAATCCCTCCTCGGTTAAGATCCTTAAGAGGCTATTGATAGTGGTGTGGTGATCAAATCACTCCCTTCGAAGTCCCTTGTCCTACTTTGTCCCTGCTATTTATGTCTTAGCTTAGCATGTGCTGGCCCAGGTTTTTACGTTGGTCTAATTATGAAATCGGTCTCATGGTAAATTTCTCTTAATGCATTCTCAAGGCATATGAATTTCTAATTAAAAACAGGTGCATAGAATTCTGGATAATCCCAACTGGCTACCATATATTTTTTGTATAAAGGTTGACGAATTTCCATATTAAATTTCCACAGTCAAAAGTGTGTGCTACTCTTAACTCTTCAGCATATCGATTATATCGCCGGAACTATTTCCTTCGCTTCTTCTCATTAAGATATCTTTCGTAGAACTATAAGCAAAAATTTGGCTTTGAAACCATTTTGCTTTGTTGCTGCAGCTTTATTTTACTTACATAGCTGGCTCAAGACAGAACATTTGTTCCATAAGGCGAACTTAAAAAAAGTTTTTCAGGCGCGTCGATCTTATCCGCCGTTTTTTTCATTTCGGAAGACTATGCTTTGATATGTCATTCTCCACGCGATCTTTCCATCGAATTCGTGGCATTTCCGTTCTGCTTGAACCATCAATTGCCTCGCTTTTATATATCTTCTGAGCTGTGGCATCCTCATCCATTCGCACAGCATGGTCTTACCAGTCGCTGCAGCTCGATACCACTGGCTATGTCGATGTCCGTGTATAGATGGTAAAGCTGATGGTTCATTCGACGCCGATATTCACCATTGACCCAGATTGGCCAGTAGATCTTTCTCTCAAACACTCCAACAGTTGCCTCATCTGCTTGCGCAAGTGTCCATGCTTTTGATCCAACAGCACGGGTATTATCTTTATTTTAGTTCCCTCGTGAATGAGGGTTCTGAAGTTCGAATTTTATCAATACTTGCAAATTTTTCAAGGGGTCTGCAAGGCTGTTTATCTTAAAGTACATTTACATATACGATTTTAAATCGACTCGATTAACGAAATCCAGAAATACACCCTAATTGTTTACACATACCCTTAATCATGATCTAAATGCCGATCAGCTGATGTTTGTTAGTATACATACAAAATTATTAATTTGCGCCAAAAATATTTGTTTGCAATTTGAAAAAGAATAGAAGAATTACCATAATGGAAATGTTTTTGCAATACTGTGATCGTTTGGAAAGTAAAAAAACGCCTAAAAACACAAAAATTCTATAATTATTTTTTTTTTTCCTTTGATCTGTCATTTTCGTATTTGTCAGCCGTTAAATTTAAAAACAAACGTCATGTAAAAACAGTTGCAAATTTTGGTACATTGTGAGAGAGTTGTATTTTTTCGTACAAAACCCGCGTTGCATCTCAGTAGTATCATGATTTCGATCATGATTTAATATAAATCCTGCTGCACGATGATTTAAAGTGCATTTACACATACGATTTTAAATCGACTCGATTAACGAAATCCAGAAATACACCCTAATTGTTTACACATACCTTTAATCATTATCTAAATACGGATCAGCTGATGTTTGTTAGTATACATACAAAATTATAAATTTGCTGCAAAAATATTTGTTTGCAATTTGAACATGAAACGAAAAATTACAACAATGGAAAAGTTTTTGAAATGGTGCGATCGTTTGGAAATTTAAAAAACAACGAAAAACACAAAAATTCTATTAATAATTGTTTTTTAATTTTTGTATTTGGTAACCGTTAAATTTTAAAACAAACAACATGTGAAAACAGTTGCAAATTTTTGTACATTGTGAGAGAGTTGTATTTTTTAGCACAAAAACCGCGTTGCATCTCAGTAGTATCATGATTTCGATCATGATTTAAAATAAACCATGCCGCACGATGATTTAATTTTGTATGGTAAATCATGGTAAATTTAGCCTGATTAAGGAAATAAACCCTGATTCGTCCATTAATCATGATCAAATGTTATATGTAAATCCGCTTTTACATTTGTGTGGTAAATCATGGTAAATTTAGCCTGATTAAGAAAATAAACCCTGATTCAGCCTTTAATCATGATTAAATGTTATATGTAAATTCGCTTTTATATTGTAATAAATGTTTTAACATATATTGTAATAAATATTTCCACATTTCTAACGCGCCTCCTTTTTCTATTCTTATTCTTTTGCAGAAATTAGAACAAGAGAAACATGTTCTGCGACAAAAACTGGCCATTGCAGAAGAAGAAAGCGAGCAGCGTGTGCTGGAATATCAAACAGATCTCAATGAACTCAAAGACAAATTGCAGGCTCAGGTATGTATGATACAATGGTCTCACACACTTTGCACATTTCAACAGCTTCTTTCCTACTTATTTCACATTATAATTAATAATTTCCTTCCAATTGCAACTATATCATAACAGGAAATCGCAATACGTCAAGCTGAAAAAGAAAAGACCTTGATAATCGAAGAATTAACAAGTCAAAATGCCCGTTTAACGGAACAAATACAAGAGGCACACAATACGGAAATGAAGCTAATGTCACAAATCCAAGAACTAAAAGATCAGTATCAATATCGGAATACCAGTTTACAGGTATGCAAGCGAACACTCATCATAATTTCTCATTCTCAGGCCATGCTAATTTCATGGATTCCGTTTTATTTTCACATCACACCTCTTAGGAACATGTCAATAGTCTGGAATCGATAAAAACGGAATTAAATCTAACCACAGAAAAACGCCATGAACTGGAGAAACGTCTACAACAAGTACAAGAGGAAAAAGAAAATCTAGCCGCTGCTCTGGAAGAATCATCAGATCGCATTCACATGTTGGAGCGACATGCCCGTGAACAGGAAACTAAACTAGAGGTAAATAAAAAATATTAGCAACTAAGATCGGTTTTTTCTTCGTCTACCATATTTCTTAGAATCATTGAGTCATAGTCTTTGTTATTATACTTCGTGTTCTTGTTGTTGTTTTTTTTCTTCTTGCATTTAAAGTTAATGTTATTTTCTTGTACCAAGTTGTTTTTTCTGTGGAATTGCTATCTCTCTGTCAAGTGTGCAAAAAATAAACGAAAACAAAACTGTATTTTAAATTAGAAAAAAAAAATCCATAACAAATTGCGTTGTTCTTGAAATGTTCGTTTATTTTATTTTTTGTTGTTGTTACAGTTATCAGAAAAATTTTTATCACTGACATTGATTTAGAAGTTGTTGGAACAATTTTTAATTTGATTATTAAATATGTGAGGTTATGTTAGAATAAGATTGAGTGCAGTAGATTGTGAATGAGCCGAATATATAAAGAACTTTTATTTTTGTTTCAAAAATATTATTGTTGCACTTCTAAAGAGTTTCAATTTTGTTTTCAATTGCTTATTTGAAAGAAAATTATTAGTTCTTAGGCGTACCTTTTTTTGCAATTATAAGTTTTTATCCAAAAACGTCAAATAAATTACTTAAGAAATTTAATATGGATTTTGTGGCATAATATGGAAATTTAGGTAATGAATATGCATTTCAGCATGCCATAATTACAGAAGTTAGTCCCATTTGAGAATTTGATGATGGCAACTCTTTTTCATTTCATTTGGAATTCATATATAAATTTCAAATAAAATGAAAAATAAATTCCATAAAATTTTATGTATGTCGATTGGAAAATTTTGAATATATTGCTATCAATATTTAACCATGGTTCTTACAACTTATATTCAAAATATTTATAAATATAATTTTTTAGCAATTTTCGCCACTGAACACATCATAGCGTACATTTCAAAAGAAGATATTTTCATTTCAATTTTGAAAGCAGAATACTGTCAAAGGCAAATTTATGAAAAAATTGGAAACATATGACTGCATGAGACTACCTTGTATAATTATGTCATGGTATTTACTTAAGAAATTTAATATGGATTCCTGGAAAGTGTCGCATAATAGGAAATGAATATGCAGATCAGTTGGCAATATAAGTTTTGACAGCACCACACATGGAAAAGAACTTTAGTTTAGAAATATCAAAGTTCTTTTTAGTTCTTTGAAATCACATAGACATGGTATTAAAAACATAAATTACAACAAGAGCACTATACATGATTATTTGAACAAGAATTTTGCTGGATCTTCGATCAAAATCTAATTAAGTACCTTAAAATTACGATAATAATGTATGATATGCTATTTTTAATGACATGTTAATGAAACAGGATATGACAAACGACATACAGTGGCTCAAAATAAAACTGGGACACTTGTGAAGATTTGTATTACTCATTCTTCATATGACCACATACAGACATTCATTAAATTGTAATTCACGATTTTAAAGATTTAAATGAAGTATAAATTCAATTCAATTTTATATAAAGTTATATATCCTTTTAGAGCTCTGATACTTCGTAGGAAGAACTTTGTTCGGTTTAAATGCGGATAGCCTTCGAGGCAATTTTAGATAAAACTAAGGTTCATTTTTAGCCCACCCCTCCTTTATGACTCTCCACTAATGAACTATAAATTCACTTCAATGTTATATACTTTTATATACCTTATTGAGCTCTAATACTTCGTGGAAAGACCTTTGCTATGTTTAAATGTGGATAGTGTTCGAGGCATCGACTTCACCAGATTTAGACAGTACGAAGGTTCAATTTTAGCTCACTCCTCCTTTATGACTCTTTCCACCAAAGAATTCTATTCAATGTTATATCCTTTTTGAGCTCTAATACTACGCATGAAGTCCGTTATTCGATTAACTGCGGATTTTCAGTAGTATAGAGCCACATTTTTACATTCAAAGCTTTGTGTTTTGGATCGCTGTCTTGATAGAAGGAGAAATTATCGCCAATTTTCAAGCTGAATTTATTAAATTATTTTCAAAAATATCCAAACACATTTTTTGATTCATGAATGCTAATATTTCCAGGTCCATCAGCTGATGCGCAACCAAATTGAAAAAACTTTACTTTGGTATTCTTTTGTAAATTTAAGTATGTTGTTTTTGCGCTTATTAATGGTTTTTTTCGAGCCAGCCTTTCATGAAAGTTATTTCTTCTGAATACGTTTCCAATTGTTTCAGGATTGTCATCCTTTTTAAGATAGAGGGACACCATGGCAGTAAGCTTTGGGGCAGTTATCTTAGAATGTTTCTTAATTTGCTGCACGATCCATCGCTCGTCCGTGTACACAGTGTATAGATCATAAAATATTTAAGTGCTTAACATAAATATATTTCCATAGATAAGTGAGCGTAACTGGTATTGCTTGTGTGAGCTGCTTCTATAATAATGGCAATACCCAACAGATATCTTATTCCCTTGCTGAGTCCATAGCAAGGGAATAAGCTACCCTGCAATTTCTATGACAGTCTAGCACTATATAAATTTAGATATTCAATAATATCAGAATGGATTTAACATATAATCTGTGCACTTCTCATTTAGTGGTCCTTCGAGCCGGTGCGCGCAAGTGATAATGCTTGTGTGAGCTGCTGGGGTGCTTTTATAATAAATGCAATGCCCAACTGATAATGCATTCAACAAGGAAATAAGATACCCTAAGATTTCTATGACAGTCTAGCACTTAGGTGAATTTATATTTTCAATAAAATCAGAAGCGATTTAACATCTAATCAGTGTACTTCTCAAACAATGGTCCTTCGAGTAGGATAACAATAATATCTGGTACTTCGAAGATTGAAACAAAATAATAAACTTAAAAAAGAGAAACGGTTGGATTTAAAGGACTCAATTTAATCCTTCTAAAATCAATTTTCTAATTTCCCTAGAAATTTGACCACTTTGTCGACCCATTTTGGAAGTTGTTAGGAAAAAAATAAATATCAGCAACTCTTTTCGAAACCGTTGAATGTTACAACAATGAATTTTGAAGCGTTGCCAGATAGAAAATAAAATAAATGTAGAGAGAGTTTGTGCATGAGGTGTCTGTTGGTGTTGACAGATAATCGTTTTTGTTTTGATACATCACCTTATTATTGCATCATGATTAGACCTCGGATTTTTGCATATTTTTTATGCTTTATCCGATTGGACTCAAATTTTGCATTTAGGCGTTTCATGCTTTAATTGATCGATATTTGGGGTCATGTCAAAAATATGCAAAAAATATGCAAAAAATATGCAAAATATATGCAAAAAATATGCAAAAAATATGCAAAATATGCAAAAAATATGCAAAATATGCAAAAAATATGCAAAAAATATGCAAAATATGCAAAAAATATGCAAAATATGCAAAAAATATGCAAAATATGCAAAAATATGCAAAATATGCAAAAAATATGCACGGTATGCTAGGTCGGTATGCGATAAATATATGCAAAAAATATGCAAAATATATGCAAAAAATATGCAAAATATGCAAAAAATATGCAAAATATGCAAAAATATGCAAAATATGCAAAATATGCAAAAATATGCAAAATATGCAAAAATATGCAAAATATGCAAAAATATGCAAATATGCAAATATGCAAACATATGCAAAATATGCAAAATATATGCAAAAAATATACAAAATATGCATTGTCGATATGCAAAATATGCAAAAATATGCAAAATATGCAAAAATATGCAAAATATGCAAAAATATGCAAAATATATGCAAAATTATGCAAAATATGCAAAATATATGCAAAATATGCAAAAATATGCAAAAAATGCAAAAATATGCAAAAATATGCAAAATATATGCAAACATATGCAAAATATGCAAAAATATGCAATATATGCAAAATATATGCAATATATGCAAAATATGCAAAAATATGCAAAAATATGCAAAAAATGCAAAAATATGCAAAATATGCAGAAATATGCAAAATATATGCAAACATATGCAAAATATGCAAAAATATGCAATATATGCAAAATATGCAGAAATATGCAAAAATATGCAATATATGCAAAATATGCAGAAATATGCAAAATATGCAAACATATGCAAAATATGCAAAATATGCAAAAAATATGCAAAATATGCAAAAAATATGCAAAATATGCAAAATATGCAAAAAATATGCACGGTATGCTAGGTCGATATGCGATAAATATATGCAAAAAATATAAAAAATATGCATTGTCGATATGCAAAATATGCAAAAATATGCAAAATATGCAAAAATATGCAAAATATGCAAAAATATGCAAAATATATGCAAAATATGCAAAAATATGCAAAATATATGCACGGTATGCTAGGTCGCAATATTAAATATAGAACTTTTGCACATATATTATTATTACTCCTAGGATATTTGGTATTGGAAATGGGATATATCGGTCCACGTTTGAGTATATCGCCATATAACGGTTATATATGTTTGCATGTTTTATACATATATTTAGCAAATTTTTCATAATGCCCCAAAAATCTAACAGTTGAACCATGAAACGCATACATACACAATTAGATTTCTATAGGTTAAAAATAAAGAAAGCACACAAATTCGAAAACTACCCTGAACTTTTTTTTTTTTTTTTTGATTAAAATGATTGCATTTGTGAAATATGTTGCTCATATTTGCACATATTTTGCATATTTTTGCCTATATTTTTCATATTTTTTGCATATTTCTCGCATATCGACCTAGCATACCGTGCATATTTTTTTGTATATTTTGCATATGTTTGCATATTTTGCATATATTTTGCATATTTTTGCATATTTTGCATATTTTGCATATGTTTGCATATTTTGCATATATTTTGCATATGTTTGCATATTTTGCATATATTTTGCATATTTTGCATATATTTTGCATATATTTTGCATATTTTTGCATATTTTGCATATTTTTGCATATTTTGCATATGTTTGCATATTTTGCATATATTTTGCATATTTTTGCATATTTTGCATATTTTTGCATATTTTGCATATGTTTGCATATTTTGCATATATTTTGCATATTTTGCATATATTTTGCATATTTTGCATATATTTTGCATATTTTTGCATATTTTGCATATTTTTGCATATTTTGCATATGTTTGCATATTTTGCATATTTTTGCATATTTTGCATATTTTTGCATATTTTGCATATGTTTGCATATTTTGCATATTTTGCATATTTTTGTATATTTTGCATATTTTGCATATATTTTGCATATGTTTGCATATTTTGCATATATTTTGCATATATTTTGCATATTTTGCATATTTTGCATATGTTTGCATATTTTGCATATATTTTGCATATGTTTGCATATTTTGCATATATTTTGCATATTTTGCATATATTTTGCATATATTTTGCATATTTTTGCATATTTTGCATATTTTTGCATATTTTGCATATGTTTGCATATTTTGCATATATTTTGCATATTTTGCATATTTTCGCATATTTTGCATATGTTTGCATATTTTGCATATATTTTGCATATTTTGCATATATTTTGCATATTTTGCATATATTTTGCATATTTTTGCATATTTTGCATATATTTTGCATATTTTGCATATATTTTGCATATTTTGCATATATTTTGCATATTTTGCATATTTTGCATATTTTTGCATATTTTGCATATGTTTGCATATTTTGCATATTTTTGCATATTTTGCATATTTTTGCATATTTTGCATATGTTTGCATATTTTGCATATTTTGCATATTTTTGTATATTTTGCATATTTTGCATATATTTTGCATATTTTTGCATATTTTGCATATGTTTGCATATTTTGCATATGTTTGCATATTTTGCATATGTTTGCATATTTTGTATATATTTTGCATATTTTGCATATATTTTGCATATTTTTGCATATATTGCATATTTTTGCATATTTTGCATATTTATCGCATATCGACCTAGCATATTTTGCATATTTTTGCATATATTTTGCATATTTTATGCATATATTTTGCATATTTTTTGCATATTTTGCATATTTTTTGCATATTTTTTGCATATTTTGCATATTTTTTGCATATTTTGCATATTTTTTGCATATTCTGCATATTTTTTGCATATCTCGTGCATATGCAAAATATGCAAAAATTAAAAAATATGAACCCTTCAAATAATTCTAAATCCTTTGAAACGAATTTGTGTCCAATCAAATTTCGATATCTTCATTATTAAAAAATATGCAAAATCCGAGGTCTACTGATAATGCATTCAACAAGGGAATAAGATACCCTAAGATTTCTATGACAGTCTAGCACTTAAGTGAATTTATATTTTCAATAAAATCAGAAGAAGAATCTGTGTACTTCTCAAACAATGGTCCTTCGAGTAGGATAACAATAATATCTGGTACTTCGAAGATTGAAACAAAATAATAAACTTAAAAAAGAGAAACGGTTGGATTTAAAGGACTCAATTTAATCCTTCTAAAATCAATTTTCTAATTTCCCTAGAAATTTGACCACTTTGTCGACCCATTTTGGAAGTTGTTAGGAAAACAAATAAATATCAGCAACTCTTTTCGAAACCGTTGAATGTTACAACAATGAATTTTGAAGCGTTGCCAGATAGAAAATAAAATAAATGTAGAGAGAGTTTGTGCATGAGGTGTCTGTTGGTGTTGACAGATAATCGTTTTTGTTTTGATACATCACCTTATTATTGCATCATGATATATTAATAAGGTCATCAAGCTAGCGAGTCGGCTGTTTTTTCTAAAGTCTAATGTCAAAAATTTGGCCTTTTTTTTGCATGTTCAAAATGGAAGTCAATTCACAATAATGAATTTTGACAGCAAACTTGAGAGGCAGCTGATATCCAGCAGGTCTCCCTGGACGACCTTATTTAAAGGCTTTGGGCCTTGATGCTAAATATTTGTTAGCATTCAAGTGCTATTATATCAGACTTCAAAATTATGCTTTTGAATTCAATTATTACATCCCCTTATTCATATATTTTTTCCATTACAAAAATCCCAGTTTTATTTTGAGCCACTTTAATAACAATTTTTTTAATTAACTACCATAATCACAAATCTTCCTTGGAAAACCTTCATTGATAATAAATTATTTTTATACCCTTCCAATTTCCCATAGACTACCTTACAAGCATTGGAAAGAGCGACCAGAGAAAACAATGTACTCAGTGAACGTTTGGGAGCGGTAAGTAAAATAATGTATTTCAATATTATATCACCTAATAACGTAATTGACCCTCTATTATATCCGCAGGACTCCTATTCCGCATCGACGGGTAAAAAATCCCTACAATTTGAAATGGAATGTGATGAAGATGAGGCTAATTTCTCCGAAGATGGTAAACCCTCACAAATATGGGTAGAATCTCGTTCCGTGTATATACAATTAAAATCATTGGTAGATTCATTGAAAATCAGTCACGACGATGATTCAGGTAAGCGCAATATACGATGGCTCCATTCTGCTTCACTCCATAGCTTGCCCTCCCCCCTTCTCTGTAGTTAGAAACTGTCTTAATCGTTATTGTTGTTGTATGCGATATTTCAAAACAAAAAAGGTTTTACAGGTTTAAATTCGGACATATCGTTGGATTTGGAATCTATGGATAATACCATATCGTCGACAAGCGATGTCGGTGGCAATAATAGTGGCATGGACAGTAATGGCAATGGCCATCCCATCAATTTCCGTCCAGGTATGCTGTCGGCAATGTCCGATGAATTGACACGCTTGCTACTGAATTTGGATGCGGGTAATTTCAAGAAAATGTTAGACCAGACACGTAATTTGGTATTGGAGCAAGAAGATGAAATAAAACGATCTCATCAACTGATACAACAGCTGGAAGCTAAGGTAAGGATGAAAATAGGGGAAATGAATATTTAAGAATCTAAAATGGAATTTAAATTACAAATGATTGCTGGGCTTATCTCCTCTATGAGGATTTATTTGGCATATATTAAATGGAATTTAGATCTACTGGATTTAATAAAGCCGGTACAATGTAAACGTTCTATAATTTACGTATTTGTATTTTAAAATTTACAGTGCGCTGTTACCGATGTTGAACTACAAAATGTCAAAGAAGAAAGAGATCAGGCCCGTAGCGATTTGGTCGACTACTCCGACCGCGATGAATTATTGGCCAAAGCCCAAAAAGAACGTGATAATGCCAATGAAAGGCGTACAAAGGCCGAAGTTGAATTGGCCAAGACCCGTGTTGAACTCATGCAAGCCAATTCACAATTATTGGAATCCATTCAACAGAAGGTTGAATTGTCACAGCAATTGGAACAGTGGCAGGTGAGTGATGAAAGATTTTTAAAGGAATTTCTGTTGTTGCTGATTTACAAAGATTTGAGGGGTATCTATAATACGGCGTGTATATTAGAACTTTTTACCGGGTTAACCTAATCTATGAGGATTTATTTTGTCTAGACCGTCTGAACAGAAGTCAGGAAGACTTTGGTCCACTCCAAGATCTTTTAATAAGATCAACCAGCAAGCAAAAGTCAGCTGTTTTTTGTTCATATTTTCACAATGGAAGTCAAATCACAATAATGAATTTTGACTGCAAACTTAAGCAGCTGATCTCTATAGTTAACCTTATTAATAAACTCTGCCTCTTAAATATAGAGCATGATTTATTAATAAGGTCACCCAGCTAGCGAAAGTTAGCTGTTAATTTTCAGGTCTAATTTCAAAATATGGACGTTGTTTACGTTTTCATAATGGAAGTAAAATCACAATAATGGATTTTGACTGCAAACTTAAGCAGCTGATCTCCATGTATGGTCTTATTAATAGACCTTGGTGCCCTCTTAAATATAGAACAAGATCTATTGTTAAGGTCACTCAGCTAGCGAAAGTCAGCTGTTAATTTTCAGGTCTAATTTCAAAATTTGGATTTTGTTAACGTTTTTATAATGGAATTCAATTCACAATAATGGACTTTGACAGAAAACTTGAGAAGCAGCAGATCTCACTGGATGACCTTATTAATAGACCTTGGTCCCCACTTAAATATAGAACAGGATCTATTAATAAAGTCAACCGGAAAACAAAGGTCAGCTGTTTCTTCTCAAGTCTAATGTCAAAAATGTTCACTTTGTTTACGTTTTTATAATGGAAGTCATTTCATAACAACGCATTTTGACAGCAAACTTGAGAAGCAGCTGGATGACCTTATTTGACGGGCAACTTGAGAATCATCTGATCTGCAGCTGATATTTCTGGGAGACCTTTTAATAGGTTTTGTGCAAGGCCTATAAATAAGGTCATCCAGGAAGACCAGCTGGATATCGGGTGCCTCTCAAGTTTGCTGTCAAAATCCATTATTGTGAATTACTTCCATTATAAAATCCTAAACAAAAGCCACATTTTAGACATTAGACTTGAGAGAAAACAGCTGTCTTTCGCTAGCTTGGTAACCTCATTAAAAGATCTTGGTTTTACGCCTTCATTTGACTGCACTTAAACTTGGCAGCACTTAATATCCAATTACTTAAGCTATGTTTACATGAAACTGATTTAAATAATATACTTTATTTGTTTTCTTTTCATTTCAGATGGATATGCAAGAATTGATCGAAGAACAAATGCGTTCGAAAATGATCAACAATCGTAAAAGCCAACAGACCCAGCCACAGACCAACAATGCCAGTGGAGCCAGCAATTTGGCCAAACGATTGTCCAACTACAAATTGTGGAGCCTTTTTCAACGGTAATCTGATGTCGTTGAAGTGGTGGCGCTATGCGTCCTTAATTTTAATCATGTAAAAGCTTTCAAACGTTTATTAAATTGAGTTTACTCTTTATTATTATATATTACGTTTTTTTAATTAATTATTATAAACTAATTTTTATAAATGTGTACTTATTACTTACTACTTTATAATCCATTTTATTATTATTATTTACTCCCTCAAATCTCTCTCTATAAACATATTCATAAAATTGTGTATAAATTCTTTTTAATATATATAAATATATATTTTTTTAATTATTATGTATACTATATAAATTTTGTTTTTTGATATAAGAAATATTTATATTAATTGTATTGATTTTTTGTACTTATATATAAAAAAATATATAAAAATAATATATTAATATTAATAGTGAAATGAGGTTAAAACAAAAGTGAAAAAAAAAAACAAAAAAATATCTAATGTAACAAATCAAAATTTACACACACAAAAACACTAACCCCCTCTCACTTGTTAAAAACTACTTAAATATAAAATGTACCTTTCTTTGATAATGATGATAATATTATAGTGAAAATTAATAATAATAAAAACAAACACCACACACACAATATATTAAAATTAAATATAAATATTTTTTTTTTATTTTCTTTATGTGATTTTGTTTACCGTAATATGAAACATAAACATACACACACATTTGTAACAAAAAAAAAATAACAATTGTACATATAAACGGAATATTAAGAAAATATGAAATATTTAATAGAAATTTATATTTTTTATTATTTTTTTTAACTCTAAATGATTAATTTAATAAGAAAATCTTATGTATTGGAATACATTAAAAACACTTGATATATGATTCCTGAGAGTTGTCTGGTAGATTAAAAGCGATAATATTTTTCAAATTTACGGTATGTTCCCATATTTAAAAAGTGTTAACATTTTTAAAGGGAGAATAGAAAACTACTTCAGTCAGTAGTATATTCTTGTAGGTTCTGGAACAAAGTTACACGTGTAAAGGAAAATTTAACCGGATTTTGTTAACCCAGTGGCTTTCAATTGTCAATTCCTTTGCATATATGTCAAATAAATCCTCATATAGTAGGTTAACCCGGTAAAAAGTTCTAATGTATATGCCATTTTAAAAGGCATATTTATCAAGGTCTATAAATAAGATCATCCAGAAAGACCAGCTAGATATCAGCTGCCTCTCAAGCTTGCTGTCAAAATCCATTATTGTGAATTGACTTCTGTAATGAAAATGTAAACGAAGTCCAAATTTTTGACATTAGACTTGAATAAAAAAACCAGCTGACATTCGCTTGTTGGGTGAACCTATTGATAGATGGTGGACATAATCTAATCCCGCTTTTTTCAATCTATATTCTGATTTTGCCATTATTTGGTATTTTGAAGACCCACCTAATAATTTTTGACGATCTTATTATATTTTTTTACGATTATTGGATTTATTGTACATTTAGCTTACTTTGAATATCAGCTGACACTAAAAAAGCTGACAAATATTAATCAGCTGTTTTAGGAACAACTTAACAGTGTAACTGAACAAATCGAGTCGATTTAGAACATATAAGGCCTATAAATAAGGACATACAGGAAGACCTGCTGCGTGTCAACTGCTACTAAAGTTTGTTTTCAAAATTCATTATTGTGAATTGACTTCCATTATGGAAATTTAAATAAAGTCCAAATTGTTTGACATTAGACTTGAGAAAAAATTGCTCGCTTTCGCTGGTTGGGTAACCTTATTAATAGATCCTGGACATAATATAATCGCGCTTTTTTCAATCTATATTCTGATTTTGCCATTATTTGATATTTTGACAACATGACGTCTAATACAGTGAACAATTCTGCATCATTAACTCAAACATCACGGTTTTTGATTTATCTCGATCAAGCAGCAAACGAGCGATATATCGTGGTTAGAATTCAAATTAAACTAAATTTTCACTTCGTAATAGTTTTACTAAACCTATACCACGCCTGAAGATGGGAACCACCGATCCGCACATACCGGTACCTCACCCATGAATGAAAAAGTGTGAAATTTAAATGATTTTCATTAAACGTAAATATGCTACTTATATGGACATTAATAGTACGTTTATGTTGGGCTTAAATTGTCAATTCCATTGAATACATGTCAAATAAATCCTCATAAAATTTCAATGTATGCCGTTTAAAATTGGTCAAGCCCGAAATAGTGTATAGAAATATTTATGTATGTCATCGGCTCAGAGTATATATCTGTTAACAACAGCTGATACATTCTAATTAGTTTTTTTTTATAAAATCAGCTGATTCTAAGATCGGCTAATGAATAAAATTTATGACCAGATTTAATCGATCATAGTTATGTTTCCAAACTTGCAATATATTTTACAATTTTTGTTAAAAAAAATTTGTTTACACAAACATTCTCTTAAGTTTGGGTAGTTAAAAATGATCTAAAGGTCTGTTTAGGCTATGCCTTCTAAATCGACTAAACTCTAAATAGAGGTATAAAATATTTACTGTTTAGACCAGTATTAAAGTGGGATAATGTTGATTTGTCAGTTGTTTATGTTTACGTATACATACATACACATTTCTCTACTTTCATATATTCTGTGTCAATTTTTCAATCGATATTTCCATAATTTTAATACTAATTCCTCTACATTAGGTTAAAAACTGCTTCAATACGAATAACCACTGGTGTACAGAATTAATTGAGAGGGATTTATGTGATCGTAACTGAGAATTCACCACAAAAAACGACTGACGAAAAGAGAACATGTGTTAACCACATACTTTAAAGTATGGAATAACCGAGGCATATTTACCTAGTGAACTGTGATATCAGTATTTGAATTTCTATATTCAGGAGGTGAATCTTTGTAGAGCAAAACATGAGAGCTGTTTGGAACTTTTTAATTTGTTTACATTAATAAAAAATATTTCATGTTTTCTTAATTTCCACAAAATTATATTTACTAATATTGAAAAAAATCCATATGCCTTATAATCGTTTAACGCTAATGAAAATATTTTTTGTAAAGACACAATAATTTTATATACACTTTTTTGGAAAAATTTACTTTATATTACAAAGATAAAAAATAACACATATCGCTCGCTAATCTTCGTTTTTTATATATTTTGTTTTTATGCTACATTTACATCAAACATGGTTTCTGAAAACAAATATTATTTGATTGACACTTACTTACACTTGTCATTTCCTATGTACATATGTCAAAACTGAATAGTTCCATAAAACACGATCTGTGTAAATGTAGCAGTAGCGCGTTTTAGTAGTCTAAACGATCGATTTCAAATGTCAATTCCATGATGCAATAATAAGGCGATGTATCAAAACAAAAACCTTTGTTTTTGTCTCGATTTTCTGTCAAATTTTTCATATAATATTTCACATGTTGGCAACATTGCACATCGAATACAAGTAGAAAATATGAACTTTGACAGTTAATCGAGACATCAGATACGCTAAATGGACTACCTAGTTATTGTGCCATGGTCAATTCCATAGCCTATATGTCACGTTAGAGCACGTTTACACTACTAAATCCACTCGATCTCAAATGTTAATTCCATATCATGTTCACAAATCCAGTGGATTATATTAGACGTATATTCTATGGAACTGACATTTGAAATCGAGTGGATTTCGAAAATCTAAACGCACTTTTAATCCTTTTCGCAAATCGAGTGGATATTTGACGTATACATTATGAAAGCGACTTTTGAAATCCAGTAGTTTTCATAAATCTAATCGCACTTTATGTCTATAATCTACGTGTTTTATGAAATGGGAAATGATAATTATGTGTAATTGATGTAAACATAGTATAATCGCACATTTGTAAATAAACGTTCACATATGACAATTTTTTCTAACTCACTATCTTTACATGCAACCTAGCGGAAAGGATAAATATGTTATTAATTTTAACTCCTTTATTTTAGGCTATTTTAAGTCCAAACGTAATAACTCTGGCTCTGAACTACAAGGAAACTAAAAAAATTGGGAACTCTATTAAGCTCAGTAGAATTTATACTCTTTGTATCAGACAGCCCTAAAAGCAGAATTAATTATGACATAACCATAAAGGCTATGTTAATCAGCTGATTGAACCAAAACTACGGAAATCAATGAATCCGACTGCTATGACTACGTTTAGATTTACGAAATCAACTCGATCTGAAATGTCAAGTTCATAGCGTATCCGTCAAATATAATCCACTGAATTTTTGAACAGTATCGACGTTTGAGATCGAGTGGATTTAGTAGTCTAAACGCGCTTTATATCACTATTAACCGAATACAATGATTTCCATAGGTTTTAAGGTTATGATATGGCTTTATGGTTATTTCAAAACTAATCCTACCTTAATTATCATATGTGAACGTAATATTAGCATACTACTTCTGTCAGATTTACATCAAACGTCTTTTATTACAATCACCATTTAATTGTTGTATCAAACGATTTACGTAAAATACGTTCGATGTAAATGTAGCTTTAGAATGCTCTGTTATTTTAGTTAATTTGACCATTTTGTA